ATGGAGTTTGGTTCAGTTCCTGACTGCTGAGTTTGTGTTATGGTGCTTCATGTTGTGTGAATATTGGAACTCCAAATATTTTTTAAATTTTTTTATTATAAAAATTAATATTTATAGCAAACATAATACATACCAGAATACAAACAAAACCATAATAGATACAAAATACATATATTAATCTGAACTGATTGATGAGTGAACAGGTTAATCATGAAAATCAAATACATCAGCTGAGACTCAATCACAATCATTAATCAAAAGTATCAACACTTAAAAACAGTATCTCTACTGAACCATAAACTTCAAAATGTACATTTCATTCAAAAATATAAAAGTTGTATGAATGAGGTTTGGTTCAGTTTGTGACGGCTCAGTTTGTGTTATGGTGCTTCATGTTGTGTGAATGCTCAAAAGATCATCTTTGGCAGAGGAACCAGATTAACTATTGAACCCAGTAAGTACTGATATTGATCATAATCAATATTTATACCAGCAAAATGTACAGGAATACAAACAAAACCATGATAATAAACGTAGTGTTTTGGGATATAATCGCAAATACAGCCGCATCCAGATAAAACAAAGTGTTTTTATGAGCAGAAATGATCATAAAGGAAGAGATAAAAGTTCAATATCAATCAATCATTATCAATCTAGTATCAAGCGTTACATTTTATTTGTAAGTTATTATGTGTATCTGTTTTTAATTGAAATGGCATCCTGTTTAAAAAGCTGGAATGTAATCAATATATATATAATAATCTTCCAAATGGAGTTTGGTTCAGCTGTAGTTTGCGTTATGGAGCTTCCTGTTGTGTGAATGTAAATAAGATGATCTTTGGCAGTGGAACCAGATTAACCATTGAACCCAGTAAGTAGTAATATATTATTATTTATATTATTATATATTATATTATAATTTATATGGAGCATCATTAAAAGCAAAAACAGCAAAACTAGAATAAGATACTAATAACAATACTAATGAGGGGATCATAATAACCAAATAAATCAGCTGAGACTTCATCACAATCATCAGTGTATTAATGAAAACTATCAACACTTAAACACTCGGAAGTACTGTACAGTTTAAAAATTAAGTTTTATTAATGAAGTTTGGTTCAGTTCAGTTTGTGTTATGGTGCCTTATGTTGTGTGAATGCTGGAATTCAAAAGCTGATCTTTGGCAGTGGAACCAGATTAACCATTGAACCCAGTGAGTACTGATATTGATCATAAACAATATTTATATGAAGCATCTTTAAAACAAACTTTACAGTGTTTTAATATACACAAAACCAGATCAGCAAATAAAACACATACACACAAACTTACTCATGTCATGCATGCACATGCACTGATCGATGAGTAACAAATACACAGCATAATTCAATATGACTCTGTTGAGATGAAAACCTTGTATCCCCAAAATGTCATTTTTTCAGAATCTAGGATAACAGTGCTGGGAAAACTGAAAAAAGTATCTACTGTACCATACATACATTTATTTACTATAGATAAATAACCTTATAATATATATTTAAGATGCAAATAGCAGGTCATTGTTGTAACGGGGCTCCAAGTCTCAAACGTAAAACAGTTGTTTTCTAAATGGAGTTTGGTTCAGTTTGTGTTATGGTGCTTCATGTTGTGTGACTACTGGAAATCAAAATAAGCTGTTCTTTGGCAGTGGAACCAGATTAACCATTGAACCCAGTAAGTAGTCATACATTATTATTTATATGAAGTATCTTTAAAAGCAAACTTGTGTCATACACACAAAACTAGAATATAAAATACTGATATTAATGAGTGGACAGCTTGATCATAATAATCAAATAAATCAGCTGAGACTTAATCAAAAAAATATCGACACTTAAACACTCTGTATCTCTACTGTACAGTAAACGTTAAAATTTACATTTTATTCACACACAAGTCTCCAATGTAAAATTGAAGTTTTTTGGTTTAGTTCAGTTTGTGGTATGGTGCTTCATGTTGTGTGACTGGAGGTGGAAGTCAGTATAAGATGATCTTTGGCAGTGGAACCAGATTAACCATTCAACCCAGTAAGTTCTGATATTGATTTATCCAAAGATCAATACATCAGTCTAAGAATGTATTAATCAAAACATAAGTTTACTGATTAAGAGCATTGTCATTAAAACAGTATCTACAAAAAAATAATAATATATAACTATTAATTTCACATAAAATATACATCTAATGTAATCATTCAGATAAAATTCTCAAATGTAAAAACAAGAATTTCTTAAATGAGGTTTGGTGTCGTTTGTATTCAGTAATATTATTGTGCAGTAAATATAACAATTTATTTGTAATATATATTAATAATCAATTAATTCATGAAAATATTTACTTTTTAACTGGATGGAAGTCTATAATGTAAAAAAAAATATTTTTTAAAATGGAGTTTGGTTCAGTTCGTCACTTTGTTGAGTTTGTGTACTGGTGCTTCTTGTTGTGTGAATGCTGGATATCAAAAGATCATCTTTGGAAGTGGAACCAGATTAACCATTGAACCCAGTAAGTGCTGATATTGATTAAGAGCTATCCAAAGATCAATACATCAACTGAGCATGTATTAATCAAACATACATTTGCTGATTAAGAGTATCATTGTTAAAACAGTTCATTCAGTATCTCTACTGTATGTTAATACAAAAAATATCCATTTATAATATAGAACTAACAATAAAACACAACATTAATGTAACAGTAATAGTAATAGTAGCTTATTGTTGTGACAGGACTATAATCATTCAGAAAAAAATCTCAAATGTAAAAACTTTAAATTAAGTTGAGTTTTAACTGGACAGGAGTCTTAATGTGAAAATTATGTTTTTCTAAATGGAATTTAGTTCAGTTGGGCACGCTGTTGAGTTTGTGTTATGGTGCTTCATACTGTGTGGATGCTGGATATGGAAAGATGATCTTTGGAAGTGGAACCAGATTAACCATTGCACCCAGTAAGTGCTGATATTGATCTATAAAAAAGCCAACTTCAGTGTTTTACTTTGATAAATTGATCATGATAATCAACTCGACAATGTGTTAATTCCAAGCATAAATAGTAAAAGACCTCAATATCTCTACTGTTCAGTTAATATTAAAATACATGTTTTATTTATAATGTAAATGTGATGTTTTTTTAAGTGAAGTCTGGTTCAGCCAGTCACTCTGAGTTTGTGTTATGGTGCTTCATGTAGTGTGAATACTGGATATAAGATTTTCTTTGGCACTGGAACCAGATTAACCATTGAACCCAGTAAGTACTGAAATATTAAATAGCATGTATATGGTATATATCGTTAAAAACAAACTTTGAATTATTCATAGAAAACTAGAATAGAAGATAAAAAAGATAAAGTTGAATTTTACCTACAAATACTTTAATCTCTAAATGTCAGTATTTCAGAAACAAACCAAAAATAGGAATTCTGTTATCTGGATGATGCTGCAGTTTTGTTGATTTCCAAATATTTGAAGATGCTTTTCTGAGTCTAATCACTGTTTGTTCAGTAATTTTACTGTACAGTGAATTTTAGAAGCTACGTATTATTCATGATATACATGTATTAAGTGCTGGAAACCTATTTTATGACTGGACAGAAGACATAAAGGCTTAAAATGTAAAAGAGATGTTTTCTGAGTGAAGTTTGGTGCAGTTGAGTTTGTGTGATGGTGCTTCATGTTGTGTGAATGCTGGAGGTGGATATAAAATCCTATTTGGAAATGGAACTAGATTAACCATTGAAACCAGTAAGTACTGATACTGATGATAAATATTATTAATATGAGGCTCATAAAAAGACATTTAAAGATGCTTTTCCAACCAGCTGTAAAAATTAGCTTAATTTTAATCTTAAATAGTATAAAAGTCAGAATTAGGTCATTAGATGTTTTAAATTTAAATCTGTAGAATTAAGTTTAAAATATTTTTCAGGAGTCATTTTTCGAAATGGAGTTTGGTTCAGTTTGTCACTTTGAGATTGTGTAATGGGGCTTCATGTTGTGTGAATGCTGGGAATCAGTTAAGGATCATCTTTGGAAGCGGAACCAGATTAACCATTGAGCCCAGTAAGTACTGATATTGCAAATATTATTGAGCATCTTAAAAGTTGAAGTTGTTTTAAATAGAATACACTGATACTCTTGACAGTAAACTTTTGATCTTTGGTTTGACTCTTTCGTCAAGGTGTTGAAAATGCTGTTCACAAATGTGTGCAAAATTTGAAATGATGGACCCAAAATTCTTATTTCTCATTAGCTGAACCACAACATGAAGCTACCCATCAGCTCATCATCTGTTTCCAGAGTTTTTACTCGTGTCAATAACTTTGTGAGATTTTGTCGAAGCAGTTTGTTGAAGAGTTGAGTCAGTAAGGTTTGTGTCCTGAGGCTTCAGACTGTGTGACTGCTAACAAGATTATCTTTGGGCGCGGCACTAAACTTAACATCTATGCCAGTAAGTTGAATTCTTTTCATTCTGTTAAAGCTCCAAGTTAAACTTAACAGGCTTGGTTTCAGAATACTGAACGCAGATTCTCCAACAAGATACAGAAAGAGGATACAGATTCAAGATACTGATGCAACATATAGGTTGAATGTTTCTACTAGTAAACAACAACGCCCCCAAAAAAGGCAAGAAAAATACAAACTAATGTTTGGAAATCAAACCTTCAAAATCACAAGCTAATCTAATTATATAACCAAAACTATCAATTAAAGGATTTTTCCAAAACTGTAAATCACAAAATTCTCTGGAATTCTCTAAAACATTGTTAAGAAATAGCCATCATTTCTATATGCATATAATATTTTACATATTTATTTTAGGAGATATTTCATAGTTAAATGTTAAATGTCTATTAAACAAAAGAGGTTTTTGTCATTTTTCCACCTTGTTCTATTTTTCTGCATTTGGTGAGAAGTTTGAGACCTCTGGCAGTTTTTGTCCTGTCAGTTCGTACTGTGGGACAAACACCGCCAAAATGACGCTTGGAGTTGGAATAAAGCTGACTGTGGAAACACGTGAGTCCACTCGTCTATACTGTATGAAATCAGTCATGCACAGATGACTACAGATTTCTTCTATTCCATTAGTTTTTTTTAGCAATTTTAACTGAGGTTTCAGTTACAAACTAAAACATTTGCTTCCAAATCTCCAAGTAAAAACTACTGGGAATTCATTCCGAAACAACAAATTACATGCACACTTCTCTTGTCCAAAAGACGCTTTCTTTTATGTAAATGTATCAACTTAAATCCAACAATGCTTCTTTGCACATCAGTTATTGTGGTTTGCCAATTACAGTTCCTTCAGACCGAAGCGGCAATTACATTAAAAGGAGACTTCATAAATCAAATCAGTAAAATCAAAATGCTGAAAATGTTTATTTTATTGTGTTAAAAATTATTTATTGTAATAAAAATAAAATACATTATATGTTTAAATACTGCAGTCTTCATGGCCATTAAATATATCAAATACAAACCATCAAACATTTAACAGTTACCGAAATCAGATACCAATCTTGCACATGTAACATATGACTTATATGTTGACATATGAAAAAAGATATTAAAAAACGTGAAGTTACTATTATATTGAAAAAAACACAGAGATCCTTTTGACTCCTTTTGAATAACTGTATGTCAATGAGGTAATGATGTCAATGAGTCTGAACTAAAATTGCAGTTTAATTCATGTACAGACTCTTAACATATACAGGTAATTAATTCAGATTTGACTTTTTGGAATGAGTTATTCTGTTCACTGGATTAGGACACACTGAGCTGCTTTCTGTGTTAATGTGAAGCTGTTGGAGCCCTGCACAGTTTATGTAATGGTGTGTTGTGTTGTGTGAATACTGGAAACTACAAGCTGATCTTTGGGTCAGGGATCAGACTGAATGTTGAAAACAGTAAGTCCAGTAAGATCTGTTTTATTTTAAAATATCACTCTAAACTGAGGGTGTAATGACATCTCCTTCAGAGTTCAGAATTTAATCTGTTTTTGTCACAAAAGAGCTAAATCTGTTGCTTGTTGATATTTATTCATTTCAAATCTTTAAAATGGTGGAAACCTGATTTTGAATTTAAACACATCAGCTGCCAGTTTGGTAGCAAAACTTAAATTCATTCCATTTAAATGCCATTGGTAAATTATGCAAAACTAGAAATAGTGTGGTTATATTTGAATGCATATGTGGTAATGAAAAATGATAAAACATGTCAACATTTCATAATTGTAGTGTAGCCTAATTTGTCTATGTTCAGGAGGAAATAAGTTACTGTTCAGATCAAATTCACTGTGTGACTGTTAGTGGAAATTACAAAATCATTTTTGGAGAAGGAACCAAACTAACTGTACAGAGCAGTAAGTATTAACACTTTTAATTAATCTTCCTGCCTTCTGCCCAATTAGTTGTTTCCATTATGTAACTGAACATGATTTGCTTCCTAAAAATTAAAATGACAGTTAATTAGTTAGTTATCATTGATAGGTATTATTTTTAGTGGCCATAGAAATGTCCTCTATCCTTCATCTATTGAGCTTACTTTCAGAAACATTTAAATTATTTAACAAAAGTTTAAAATCAAGCCAAAGGTTTTACCAGACAGCAATGATATGTTACAATGGTTCGAATTTCAGGACATTTACCGCTAGCTAGTCCAGCCTTTATTAGTTTTACATTACTTAATTTAAAATTTTAGTGAAGATTTTGACATTTCTTAATAAGCCGAATATGTCCGATGTGGGGACATCTGAAATATTTCAATTTGAAAGATTTAAGAATAATATTTTGTCATTATTAGAAAATAATCCCAAGGAATGAGCAAATAGCAAATTTAATTTAAAAAAATCCAGCTGGTTACAGACAATGTGATTATATTCATTAGTGTAAGCTTTGTAGTTATTGCTAAGGGCAGAGACACTGTGAGACTGCGACAGGAGACAGAAAATTACTTTTTGGTGAAGGAATACAGTTGACTGTTGAATCCAGTGAGTATACCTGAAACTTTTAAAGTATCTCTGCTGTATTTAGATATTAAACGGTGTAAAGAGACGCGGGAACACAGTAGAATACATTGGTAATATTTGATTTCTATGTCTATATGTATTGAATGTTAAAGAGTCTCCATGATGATTAATGTACCTTAGCTTTGAGTTTATTTTTGATGGGATTCTTACTGCATGACCACCTGCTTCTTGGGGCAGTCTATCCACTAACAATTAGCTTTTCTAGTTGCTCTAATTATTATTTTGTTATTTAGAAATGTGTTCATTCTTAAAATGGTAGCTCATAAACAAAGTCTAGTATAGTATTTTAATAAAATAAAAATAAATAAATAAATGTAATTCCCATATCTGCAGGAGGAAATAGTTGATGTAGTTATTGTTTGGATCAGAGTGACTGTGTGACTACTTCTGGAAGCTGGAAAATCATTTTTGGAAAAGGAATCAAACTAATTGTAGAGAGCAGTGAGTATTATCAAAACACAAATATTCATAACAATCATTATGTGGCATCCTACTGTTTGTCAGGAGTTAAAATGGCACCACTAACAGTCGCCTTTATTAATTATATTGTTAAGCTTTTTCATTGAATATTTGGACCTTTCTGAAAGCCATCACAAAGTTTAGGTCTCCAGTACATCTGTAACTAAATAAAGACCAAAGACCAGCAAATGCACTCACCCAATTAAACAAAAATGTCAAATCAGTTAAATACTGTTATGTACGTACAACAGCTACTTACATCCAATTTAATTCAAACTGCTGGTTGTTAAGTGTTGGTCTTGGTGTGAGTGGCTTAACTCAAGTTTGGTTCGGGCACAAAACTGACTGTTGGCTCTTGTTAGAGCATCTAAATGTGTCCTGTGCAAACTAAACTTAATTCTTGTAATTGCTGTAATGTTAATAAGAACTTACAATACAACACAAACACTCAAAGCAGGCAAACTATGCAGCATAATGTACGCAAAAACAAAGATGAAATAGTTTCTTTTATTTTTGAATAATTTAGAGATCTGTATGGAGATAAATGAAATGTTTAGTGCCAGAAACCCTTTTTATCTGTCATCTGATTTTTTAATAATTATTTAATAATTTATTATTTTTTAGTGTAGTTTAGGTTGTCATTCAACCAGGTTTCAGCAGTGGCAGTTCATATGGTTATTGTTGCACTCAGATCCACTGTGTGACTTTTGGATCTGGAAACTTTAAACTTACATTTGGAGAAGGAATCAAACTAGCTGTAGAAACCAGTAAGTATCAATAATTTATGTATTCAAGACATAAAATGGAGGATAGGATTTAGAGTTAGTCCACAACTCAAAACAAAACAAATGTATGGCTTTAAATCTCATGACGGCTAAATCAGACAACAGATTTTACAAATATTACTGTATCATTGTAAAAGTATGTTAGAATGTAAGTTTTATTTAAGATAGACATTTTGACATTTTAGGCCTTCATCATACTCAAACACCAATTCAATCCTGAGCTCTAAAAATTTTCAATTGAAAAATAGTTTTACTACTGTTATATCGTAACTGTTAATTAACTCCATAGGTTGTTATTAACTGCTGTAATTGGTGTTGATTGTAGCTGAAGTAGTGTATGTAGTTATTGTTCAAATCCGATCCACTGTGTGACTACTGGAGGAGGAAACTTGAAACTAATTTTTGGAGAAGGAACCAAACTAACTATAGAAACCAGTGAGTATCAAAAATTCACATACTCTTTAGAAAAAAACAACTTATATGTTTGTTGGCTGTTAATGTTTAGGTATTATTTGGTATTGACACAAGTTCAATAAAACCAGTTCTGGATAGAAGTATACCAAATAACAGCCAAATGTAATGACACATTGACAAACTAAAACAGTTCGGATCGAGTAGTCCTTGATCTGATATGGCTCCCTAGAACACAAATGTAAATGTGTTAATCATTTTTGAGGTGTGATTACAGTGTTTATTAGTCATTTTTTAGAAAACTGTTAATTTTCAGTTTTATCTACTGTTGCTGTACAAAGGCATTTTTGCATTGGTCTTCTTTCACATTGGCCCATATATACGCCTATGAAATAGCCAATTATGTCTAAAACACAAATATAATACAACTGTTTGCAGTTGATGTGCTTATGTCTGTTGCTATTTCATAACACATCAGTATTTGTTCTGAGTGGAACCAATGTGTGACTGGTTCTGGGGCAGCAAGCTGGAAAATATTTTTTGGGGAAGGAGTCCAACTAAATGTCGAGGCCAGTGAGTATTGTAAAAATTTAAGATTTAATTATTATTGTATACCAGCTTTAATCATCACCTATGTGATAAAATTCAGATTCTTTGAAAAAAAAAAAAAAAAACTGAGCGTACAGATCTCAGTACATACTAATAGAATAGTTTTATTAATATCAGTGACAGGAAATATTTTTGAGGACATATTCTTCCGACAAACCTATAAATATAAATTGTGTTCAGCAACTCAACAAATGCAAAGTCACTAAACATACTTCTGCTACCTGCTCAGAGGTACTTTGTTGGAGAAACAGAAAACAATGGCAGTCCTAAGTCGAGCCAAAACTAAATCGTTTAGTTTTATTCTTAAAGGTTTTTGCCCCAATCAACTTATTCAGACTCCCTGAAGTTCTTTGAGTTCATAGAAATAAAGCTACTGAATAGATTCAGTCTCTTTCCCCCTTCACTGGTCCATCTCTGGGTTTATGTGGTTGGTTTCCTCAGAGTGTGACTGGCTCTGGAGTTGCCAAACTCATCTTTGGCTCCGGCACAAAACTGACAGTTAGCTCCAGTAAGTACATTTTGTACAGATTATCTTTTTTATTCTTGCATTTTCTGTCACTAAAATGTCCCCTGGAAGTGAATATACAAATATTAAAAAAATTTAAAAATTACATAAGGCAGTATATAATATTTGGTGCTATTCATACATTGAAATACATTGAATTGTAATGTGATAACCTGTGAATTGAGACTGTAAAAGCCTTTGGATAATAATATCAAAC